ATTTTTTCCCACAAAGACTATAATTCATGCATTTTAACACATAATTCATTGCATTTTTCCATTTTAAAGACTATAATTCATGCATTTTCACAAATCTTAACATTTTTCAAAGACTATAATTCATGCATTTTCCAAATTTAACATTTTTCACAAAGACTATAATTCACGTATTTTCACAAATTTTCACATTTTCTAACACAAAGACTATAATTCATGCATTTTCACAAATCTTAACATTTTTTCCCCACAAAGACTATAATTCATGCATTTTCACAAATTTTAACATTTTTCCCCACAAAGACTATAATTCATGCATTTTCACAAATTTAACATTTTTCCACAAAGACTATAATTCATGCATTATCACAAATTTTAACATTTTTCCCCACAAAGACTATAATTCATGCATTTTCATAAATTTTCACATTTTTTCACAAAAAGGCTATAATCCACTGAATTCAATGCTTTGAAATTTATGAAAGTGCATGAATTATAGTCTTTGTGGGGAAAAAATGTTAAGATTTGTGAAAATGCATGAATAGAAAGAGAAAAAGATGTAATCGATTACATAAAAGAGAAAAAGTTGTCATTGTATAAAAGACGATATCATAAAAGACGCCATTTCATAGGTTTCTTTGTCCTTGCTATTTAACTTTTGTTTGTGCGCAACCAAAACCAACGATGAAAAGAATATGGTTGGTGCGTTATGATGATAAAAAATAGTTCAGTTAGTTCAAACATAAAGTCAAATGATCTCGACGCCATTGCATCGGAAAAAATGACCTAAGACATGCTCGTCACTGCCCTGATTTACCACATGGCATCGCGTGAATTGACTACCTTCGATTACTTGGAATACTTTCGACTATGAAATGACTAATTTTTCAATTAGTCATTTCAAAGGTAGACACAAAGGTGGACAAGAAGGTAGACACAAAGGTAGACAAGAAGATAGACACAAATGTCGACAAAAACCGCATTGGCTATATTGATTACATTGACTATAGTTGAAATGATGACACTCAAGACATGGCAAGATTGTAAATTGACAAAAGACCTGAATTAGTAAGTGGATACTGTTCTGTAGGAACCATATGCTTTTGTACAAACCATTACAATATTATCATGCATAATGGTAAAAAATATGTCATTTAACTTTGAACAGACAAGTTAGAAACTCCCAGCGCCATTAAATTGACTACGAACATGCGCGTTGTTTTTCTGATTCACCACATGGCAATGTCTGACATTGTGCATACTCCATTCGTCTTCCTCCTTTCGGTTATATCATTTATTATCCTGCAATGTTAGAGCTAAACAACTAAAATGCGTAGTAAGTCTCTTTCTTCATCTTTGCAATGATGGTGACCAAGAACAAAACAAACACAGTATTAAATGTGAGCCTCAAGAGAAATGAAGACAGTGTTGTTTAGTCAGAAACACTTGACATGTTTTAACGGTTTTCCAATTCACCCGTCTGGCTGAGTGGTAAAGATGTCGGTGCAGTGCTCTCACCTTCTCGGGTTCAAGACCATCTAAGGTTCAAGACCTTCTCCTTTTCTTTCGCTTCACATTGAAAAAATTTAACAAATACTCCAAAAAACATAGAGCTTTCGATGATGAGCGGTTAGTTCAACTGGCCGATGTTGGGCGTTTAGTTCGACATCAATGACCTCCGGTGCACAAGATCCTTGGTTCGCCCCCTCTGCCAACACACTTGGCAGGTGTACGCGGTGGATGTGGAAGACAGAAAGTCGAACTGAGGAACGAGTGCCTGGATGTAAGAAAGGGATGATTAGGGCGTTCTGTTTGCTCTTGGGTTTCCTGACTTTTCAAAATTTAAAAAAATAACTCCCTGATCACAGGAGTCATAAAAATTTGAGCAAAAGACTTAGTTTTTAAGAGTGGTTTTTGCATGGGATCCTATCTTTTTTCTTCGCTCTCCTTCTCATCGGAGAGCGTTTTTTTTCTGAATTTATACTAAGTGTCGCATTCCATTCTCGAAAAGTTTAGTAATAGAAATCCCATTTTTGTTCTATTAACCAGCACTATTTCCTTATTTTCCTATTTCTTATTCATCCTTAGCATAGTTACATCTTATTCCAGACAGGGCTCGAACCTCCACTCTCAACCTCGAAAGGTTGTGTCTATCCACTAGACCAGAGAGTTCGTTGAAGACACTTGGTCATTTTAAAGTGCCATTCCTACCTTGAAGTATTTAATGCAAAAAATAGACCATTGAAGGTCTCGAATCAAAATTATAGCAGAACACTTCCAGGTAAAGATAAAACAACAAACCAAAAATCATATTCGTAAAAATTAGACGAAGAAGGATTGTTGATATAAAGAGTGAAAGAGTAGTACAAATATATAAATTTATATTAATGTTAGTTTGGTAATACATTAGCAATACATTTATAGTTACTTATGTCTTCTCTTAAAAAAGATAGAGACAAGCATGTCTGTAATGTACAAATCTTTAAATTTATTATTTACAACTAAAGTACAGTACGTGAAAAATATATTTAAATATAGGTTCATCTATATAAACATAATCTTGCATGTTGATGATGTATCTGTTTGGAATGAAAAAAATATTAATCAATTTTGAGATAGAAAAATAATACGTCATTCAAATTATTAAACTTTATCGACTCAAAGCATGCAGTTTAAAGCTGCATCACATGCACTGCATGACTTGATGTCAGTTATTTATCGTTGTTAGGAATATTGTCTCATTTTAAGCTGTTGAAAGACCTTCATGTAAAGATATTGTTGCAATACAAGTTGTCTAGCCTGCCGTATCTCATCACCATTATTCATTTTATGCACAGTTAGAGTTTCGACCATGTATTTGAAACACAAACATGACCAATAATCCTCTAAACATTTTCTTCAAAAGTAACGTAATATTTACCTATAAGGGAATTCTTTTGTAAATTGCACAGACCCTGATTTCTTGTACATCGATTTACGTTTCTGACTACGATACTACAGAATGTATAAGTGTAGATTTGGTACTGAAAAATATGAAATTTCAAAAATATCCATTTGAAAACGCAGGAAAGTGGTCTTACTTGTTGTCTATAATTGGGTCGAACCTTGTTGTCTTTCATCTATGGAAAAATAATTGTAACAAAAATCACTATAAATTCATCATCAGAGTACTGACGTTTCTAAAACCTTTGAGGTAGTCATCTTTAGACTCAACCTGAGAAGGACTGTTGTTGTTGAAGTTGACTGACGTTTCTATAACCTTTGAGGTAGTCATCTTCAGAGTTAACCTGAGAAGGACTGTTGGTGTTGATGATGACTGACATTTCTAAAACCTTAGAGGTAGTCATCTTCAGAGTCAACCTGAGAAGGACTGTTGGTATTCATGATGACTGACGTTTCTAAAACCTTAGAGGTAGTCATCTTCAGAGTCAACCTGAGAAGGACTGTTGGTGTTCATGACTGACGTTTCTAAAACCGTCATCTTCAGAGTCAACCTGAGGACTGTTGGTGTTCATGATGACTGACGTTTCTAAAACCTTAGAGGTAGTCATCTTCAGAGTCAACCTGAGAAGGACTGTTGTTGTTGAAGTTGACTGACGTTTCTAAAACCTTTGAGGTAGTCATCTTCAGAGTCAACCTGAGAAGGACTGTTGGTGTTCATGACTGACGTTTCTGAGAGGTAGTCATCTTCAGAGTCAACCTGAGAAGGACTTGTTGAAGTTGACTGACGTTTCTAAAACCTTTGAGGTAGTCATCTTCAGAGTCAACCCGAGAAGGACTGTTGGTGTTGATGATGACTGACGTTTAGAAACCTTAGAGGTAGTCATCTTCAGAGTCAACCTGAGAAGGACTGTTTGTCTGGTTCGAAGTATTTGTTTTCCGGCTCATAGTATGTGTGTAGAAAATGCGCGGGCGTCAATTGTGTTTTGTGGGTTAGTCTAAAAAGTGTGCTTAATTTTTGTTTGTTTCTTCGTTTGTTTCTAAAAACATGTAAATTCGTCATCTTTAGTCATATTCAAATACGATGGCGAATATTGCTTGGTCTTATTGAATAATACATGCCTAGAGCTTTCTAACTCTGCAAAACAAGTTGTATCATTACTTCGTATAAATAGTTAACTTACGTGCTCATATTGACCAAAGATGAGCCGCTCTTTAACCAGATGGCATTGTACCTCTGATGAAGACTATAAAATTTTAGGAGAAATAATGTCAATCCCTTGTGTGGTTAATAGCAGTGCTGAAGAAAGTAGGGGCGCTCGGTAGAGGATCCCCCGCCTATGGTGTTGATGATGACTGACGTTTCTAAAACCTTAGAGGTAGTCATCTTCAGAGTCAACCTGAGAAGGACTGTTTGTCTGGTTCGAAGTATTTGTTTTCCGCCTCATAGTATGTGTGTAGAGAAAATGCGCGGGCGTCAATTGTTTTTGTAGGTTAGTCTATAAAAGTATTTAATTTTTAGTTTGTTTCTTTGTATAAACAGTTAACTTACGTGCTCATATTGACCAAAGATGAGCCGCTCTTCAACCAGATGGCATTGTACCTCTGATGAAGACTATAAATTGTTAGGAGAAATAATGTCAATCCCTTGTGTGGTTAATAGCAGTGCTGTAGAAGTAGGGGAGGGGGGTGCGCTCGGGGGAGGAGCCCCCTTCTACCTTTGAAATGGGTAATTTTTCATAATTTCTTGACTTCAGCTTCGTCAAGAGAGCCCCCCCATCTGATAAATTTAGTTCTACAGCACTGGTTAATAGTATCTGCGTTTCAGCCAAAAATTTCTAGAACTTTTTAGCCGAAATCAAAGCTAAGAAAGTAAAATCTTTCCTAAGTCACACTTCTAACATGGTGCTTTCCTCTAAGACGTTAGACATTTTTTGAATAAATAAAGAGCTATGATTTTTTTGGTTAATCAAATATTGAACTTCAATCAACAACTTTTTTTGAAAAGTTTACTTTGAACAAAATTTATTTTCTCTTTGCCATACCTTGAGTTGGGATTTTTGTTCATAAAGCATAAAGAACAACCTGAACATTGCTCGTTCTCTTGCAGAATCTGGTTGTCGTTGTATTCTTCTTGCTGTAAAATTTTTTACACATTATAACATTTACTATACTTGCATCAAGATGAGGTTATTGAAGGATTTGTGAAGTTCACAGTTTGCGTACTACAAAATATCAAGTTCGTAGCGAGAGCAAAATCTCAGTCACGGCTCTTACGTAAAAATCTTTCACGCTCATTCATCCAAACTATTCATAAACACATTTATCAAATTATGTTTCTATCTTAAGATTCCAACTTACGTTTTGACAAACTGAATTATACCATCGACTAAGCATCAGCTGCTGTTCAATATTGGTACTGTACCATTGATTGGGGAGATGTTGATGAGCATTGTCATTATCCCATTGATTGGGAGATGTTGATGGCCATTGCCATTTTCCCGTTGATTGGGAATTTCATGTCGATGAGCATGGTCATTTTCCTGTTGGTTGGAAATTTCATGTTGATGAGCATGGTCATTTTCCTGTTGGTTGGAAATTTCATGTTGATGAGCATGGACATTTTCTTGTTGGTTGGGAATTTCATGTTGATGAGCATTGTCATCCTCCGGATCCTAACCCTCTTAGCTCGAACAACATCAATTCTTCGTTTAAGGTCTGCTTCGGACGTTTGTAATTGCTCCAACTCTTGCTGCAATCTTTGTATCTTTGTTTCCATCTTTGTCATCTTTATCACAATTTCCATATTGTCATCCGCCCGTTCGTTGGGAATTTCATGTTGATGAGCATTTTCATCATCCCGTTGTTTGGGAATTTCATGTTGATGAGCATTGTCATTTTCCCGCTGGTTGGGAATTTCATGTTGATGAGCATGGACATTTTCTTGTTGGTTGGGAATTTCATGTTGATGAGCATTGTCATTCTCCTGTTGGTTGGGAATTTCATGTTGATGAGCATGGACATTTTCCCGTTGGTTGGGAATTTCATGTTGATGAGCATGGACATTTTCCTGTTGGTTGGGAATTTCATGTTGATGAGCATGGACATTTTCTTGTTGGTTGGGAATTTCATGTTGATGAGCATGGACATTTTCTTGTTGGTTGGGAATTTCATGTTGATGAGCATTGTCATCCTCCCGTTGGTTGGGAATTTCCTGTTGATGGCATTGCCATTTTGTTGATTGGGAATTTCATGTTGATGAGCATTGTCATTTTCTCGTTGGTTGGGAATTTCATGTTGATGAGCATTGTCATTTTCCTGTTGGTTGGGAATTTCCTGTTGATGAGCATTGTCATTTTCCTGTTGGTTGGGAATTTCATGTTGATGAGCATGGACATTTTCTTGTTGGTTGGGAATTTCCTGTTGATGAGCATTGTCATCCTCCCGTTCGTTGGGAATTTCATGTTGATGAGCATGGACATTATCTTGTTGGTTGGGAATTTCCTGTTGATGAGCATTGTCATCCTTCCGTTAATTGGGAATTTCCTGTTGATGAGCATTGTCATTTTCCTGTTGGTTGGGAATTTCATGTTGATGAGCATTGTCATTTTCCTGTTGGTTGGGAATTTCCTGTTGATGAGCATTGTCATTTTCCTGTTGGTTGGGAATTTCATGTTGATGAGCATGGACATTTTCTTGTTGGTTGGGAATTTCCTGTTGATGAGCATTGTCATTTTCCTGTTGGTTGGGAATTTCATGTTGATGAGCATTGTCATTTTCCTGTTGGTTGGGAATTTCATGTTGATGAGCATTGTCATTTTCCTGTTGGTTGGGAATTTCCTGTTGATGAGCATTGTCATCCTCCCGTTGGTTGGGAATTTCATGTTGATGAGCATTGTCATTTTCCTGTTGGTTGGGAATTTCATGTTGATGAGCATGGACATTGTGCCATTGATTGGGAATTTCATGTTGATGAGCATGGACATTGTGCCATTGATTGGGAATTTCATGTTGATGAGCATTGACATTTTGCCATTGATTGGGAATTCCATGTTGATGAGCATGGACATTGTGCCATTGATTGGGAATTTCATGTTGATGAGCATGGACATTGTGCCATTGATTGGGAATTTCATGTTGATGAGCATGGACATTGTGCCATTGATTGGGAATTTCATGTTGATGAGCATGGACATTGTGCCATTGATTGGGAATTTCATGTTGATGAGCATGGACATTGTGCCATTGATTGGGAATTTCATGTTGATGAGCATGGACATTGTGCCATTGATTGGGAATTTCATGTTGATGAGCATGGACATTGTGCCATTGATTGGGAATTTCATGTTGATGAGCATGGACATTGTGCCATTGATTGGGAATTTCATGTTGATGAGCATGGACATTGTGCCATTGATTGGGAATTTCATGTTGATGAGCATGGACATTGTGCCATTGATTGGGAATTCCTGTTGATGAGCATGGACATTGTGCCATTGATTGGGAATTTCATGTTGATGAGCATGGACATTGTGCCATTGATTGGGAATTTCCTGTTGATGAGCATGGACATTGTGCCATTGATTGGGAATTTCATGTTGATGAGCATGGACATTGTGCCATTGATTGGGAATTTCATGTTGATGAGCATGGACATTGTGCCATTGATTGGGAATTTCATGTTGATGAGCATGGACATTGTGCCATTGATTGGGAATTTCATGTTGATGAGCATGGACAAAGTGCCATTGATTGGGAATTTCCTGTTGATGAGCATGGACATTGTGCCATTGATTGGGAATTTGTTGATGAGCATGGACAAAGTGCCATTGATTGGGAATCCATGTTGGTGAGCATGGACAAAGTGCCATTGATTGGGAATTTCCTGTTGATGAGCATGGACATTGTGCCATTGATTGGGAATCATGTTGATGAGCATGGACATTGTGCCATTGATTGGGAATTTCATGTTGATGAGCATGGACATTGTGCCATTGATATGGAATTTCCTGTTGATGAACATGGACATTGTGCCATTGATTGGGAATCCCATGTTGATGAGCATGGACATTGTGCCATTGATTGGGAATCCCATGTTGATGAGCATGGACATTGTGCCATTGATTGGGAATTTCCTGTTGATGAGCATGGACATTGTGCCATTGATTGGGAATTTCATGTTGATGAGCATTGACAATTGCCATTGATTGGGAATTCCATGTTGATGAGCATGGACATTGTGCCATTGATTGGGAATCCCATGTTGATGAGCATGGACATTGTGCCATTGATTGGGAATTTCATGTTGATGAGCATTGACATTGTGCCATTGATTGGGAATTTCATGTTGATGAGCATTGACATTGTGCCATTGATTGGGAATTTCATGTTGATGAGCATGGACATTGTGCCATTGATTGGGAATTTCATGTTGATGAGCATGGACATTGTGCCATTGATTGGGAATATGATAGTGATCACCATTCCCATTAGACCATTCATTTGGAGCTTCCTGCTGTTCAACATTAGCAAACTAAAAATATTCAGAAAGCAGACATTTGAGGAAACGAATGAATAAACGTATTTATATCTCGTCGATTTTGAAATTAAAAATTACTTTTTCATCAACGGGATTGTGCCCATGCTCATTCATATTTTGTTTGTCAACTTTGTCATCCTAAAATAATTGTACAAAAGACAAATGATAAAAAATCTTTCCTTTAATTAGTCCTTGTTAAGTTTTTCGATTCTACAATTTCAACTAACTTTATTCTTGGATGACGGCGGAGTATATCCTTGATCTTTTGTGGTTTCATCACCGCAATTCGATTCCTAAAAACATTACTAGAATATGCATCTTGGCTTTATGGTTACTTTGAAAGTTTCACGCAAGAAAATATGTGTACGTGAAAATGCCAGAAAATTATACAAATCACAAACACCGTTTCGAGGAAATTCAAACGTACATCTTCATCAATGACATCTTTGACAACATCAGCCACAACGCTTGCTGCTTCTTTTGCAGCCTCTTCATCCTGTGACTTTGGCTGAAAATATCATATGTCAGTGTAAACGTCAAGAAAAACGCATCATTCAACATTTTTATGCTTTATTTTGATGATATGAAAATACGTCTTTTCTATAGAAAAGCATATTTTCACCAGAGTTATATGACGAACGTATTTTGGCAAATAGAGACTTTCCAAAGATTTCGAGACTTACCTCTTTAAACAGACAATCTGATCGAGATGTATCTTCGGACGAGTCCTGCAAATAGCCATTAACGCATGATTTCGTAAATTCCTTTGTAATCTGCGTTATTCTATTTCAACTCACGTGATTTTGTCATCTGATTACCTTATTTCTAGCCTGATAAATTTCTGTTATGCTATACACGTTTTACAACCCGTGTCCTAACATGCTTTTTATCGTGCAGCATTCCTAATTCATGCTAGCTCTCTCTTATTTGATAAAGGTTATTTACCATGCACCCAAACAACGTTTTTACTAAAGAGGATACACGCGTGGATATTAGGATACACGCTATCAGAATATGGATATACATGGATATTCAGATATATATGCATTCAGAATGTTAAATTGATGAAGAAAATATTTTGCAGTTGATTATACACTGTAAATAAACTTTGTTTTACTGTTTTCCTTTGGTTTTTAGGTAACTTTTGGTATTTTTTGTAACTTACCGTATCATCTTCATCAAGATCATCGGAGCAATGTCCTTCATTCATATAACTCGGCTGAGGTAAAAATAAGAATGGAACATGTTAGAGATATTCAGGAGGCTATTTTGTTTGAACAAACGTCAACAAATTGCAGCAAAAAATGAAGCACAGATGAAATTACTCCACGTACCACATCAATCAGTTCAAACAAATCGTTTTTTCCAACGTAATTGTATTCCTGCAGTTTTTGTAAATCTACACGGGAAAACCATAACATATTAACATTTCGCAAATGAACAGCCCACTTGTTTTGTGGATTGATCATTCGCGAAAAACAAACCATAAAATCGTATAGTTCATACCTGATGCAACAGTGATATAAAATTCCTGGATCCCATTACTCCGACCAACGACTGCAAAGTAAATAAATTTCCAAATATAAACAATATCTTTCAAGTATGTCTTCGTTATTAATGATGACGTGTTTTACACGATAGAAGAATCTCACCGTATCGGGATGAACATCGAGAAGGCCAATTTGTTTGGCTGTTCTCTGTGATAAAAGGTAACAAGTCAGTAAAACTACATACAATTTAATGAATTTGAAAAACGCCATTTGCAAGTCTCGTCTTGAGAAGACTAAGATGACTAAGTAATATAAATTTTCTACTTACTACGATAGTCGGTTGATGCATCAGAACGTTTATCTTCACGTACAGAACCTGGAGATATTAAAGAAAATTATGAATTACGTAATGTATACGTCACAGACTATATACATGAAGATGACGTATACATTCTTAATGACCACTGACACAGGAGACAATGTTTGGTACGAGATAACTAACTTCTTTGCGATAGTTGTATAAAGTCAAGATAAGTCTTCAAGAAAATGAATTTTTCAGGTTCAAATGTTTGTTCATTTTTTCTGATCAATTTCTGGATTAACTAACCCAACAAAAATCATGGGTTCCTTTAAAAAACGGCAATATTTGAAAAATATATAAATGCTGAAATTATTTTGTTTTTTACTTACAATGTTGAGATTATTAAATAATGTCTGGCTCATGTAGGCTGCTGTCAACGGCTGCAAAATAAAATCATAAAGTTTTCACAAGCTCCATGAAATCCTTATTCGATCTCGCAAGTTGGAAATTGCTCACCGTTCTTGTAAACAAATATGACTTTACCTCCGAAGGATCTATAGACACACGTGGCTCAGATTTGTTCTTTTCCTTCGAATGGCATGACTCGTCCTCAGAATCATCCGAAAGGTCCTTACGCTCCAATATTTCAATGTCGTCCAACTCATCTTCTTGGGTATCCTTCGATCCCATGATGTCATTGTCAATGTCATCTTCGTCTTTCATATTCTGAAGGATGTGATGTTCGTTATGCTCCTGCACTTCAATGTCGTTCAACTCATCTTCTTGTATCTTTCGATCCCAAGATGTCATCATCAATTGATGACATCGTGGGATCGAAGGATATAGAATGATCATGGATACCCAAGAATGATGATCATCAATTGTGATCATCATTCAAGACGAATAGAAAATATCTTTTTAGAAAATTATATAACTATCAACGAAAAAATTACTCACGCTCTTTGGAATGTTTTCAACATTCAGATTATGAACCAGCATTAGTTTCGTTTCCAACACAGGAATCTGAAATTGGTCGAGAGATATTATCAATAAGTGTGATGGTAAAAAGCAAATAATCTTTATGTAAAGATGATTATCGTGTTTCAAAGATCTTTCCACAATCGATAACTTACAAGTTTTGATGTCATATCTATGTATGGTATTATAGATAACTCTTTCTGCTTTGGAACAAGTTGGATCTGAAATTCATGGCAACATACGACAAATCAATATTTATTGGTTTATCAGATTGGATGTTCTTTACCATTTATATGTAACTGGCATTAAATTAAACTCACGCTCTTTTCTATATTGATCTCGTACAGATTATAAGCAACCACCAGTTTTCTTTCTGACATTGGTATCTAAAGTTTATTTAGTGACGTGATTGTACATAGAGTAAAGGTGATTGGATTTGAAAGATCTTTTGACAAACGATAAACTTACAAGTTTTGATGTCATATCTATGTATGGTATTATAGATAACTCATTCTGCTTTGGAACAAGTTGGATCTGAAATTTGTGGCAACATATGACAAATTAATATTCAGTGATTTATCAAATATAGATCTTGATCTAACAGATACAAGTTGACTTTGAACTTACGCTCTTTGGTGTGTTCGCCAAATAAGGCTTAAAAACATAAGCTGGTTTTCTTTTTAAGACGGGCATCTGAAATTTTCACGACATATTGTCAATTGAGAAATGGTTCGCGAAGAGCCACGGGGCTCAGGAACGATCACTAACTACATTTGAAAGATGACTCACTAAACTCACAAATTTGGATCTCATGTTGATGTATGTTATGATGGCCAACTGTTGCATCTTTTAAATGAAATGAAATATGAATATGGTTGGTGCGTATGATCATAAAAAATAGTTCAGTTAGTTCAAACATAAAGTCAAATGATGTCAAATGTCAAATGAAATAAAGTCAAATGATGTCAAATGTCAAATGAAATAAAGTCAAATGATGTCAATAAAGTCAAATGAAACATTTATCAATTTAAGAAAGATTTGACTAACGTTTTCTGGTACATTGACCTCGTGAGGTTCACGATCAACGACAAGTTTTCTTTTTAACACGGGCATCTAAAATTTTTCACGATATTAGTCAACTTCATGGTTTCATAGATAGCCAAGAGGTAGATAACGAAAACTCACAAGCTTGGAACTGATGTCAATGTATGGTATCATAGCCAATTGTTGTTGCTTTTGTGGAGCTTGCGCCTAAAATTCGTTTGCATGAATGAAACAGGTTATATTATGGGGAAAGTATGGATCATCAACATAATGAATGTTTAATATAAAACGGATAGCCAAGAGCAAGCCTTTGTGCTACGTAGCAAATTAATCAAATAAGTATTGATTTTACACTCAGACACAACGTGCAAAGTTGGCTCATTTGGTAAAAGTTTTACTTTTCAATTCTTACACAATGACTCAATCACTACAGTCACGAAATGTTAGGGTTCGTAGCATTTTATGTGCAGTAAATGTTGGCTACATAAACGATGGGGCACTACTACTGGCCAGTCCATTTTAGCTTACTCCTCCAGAGCAAATATATACACGCAATGATATCATGTCTGAAATTTATACAGTGAAAATGACGAAACACGTTTGCTGGATACGGTAATGTCTTCATATACTTGACGTGGAGCTTAATTTCACCAGCGAAAAGTATTAAAGACTATACAGAGTTTTTATAGAGTTATCATAGATTTCCTGTCTACATGTGTCCAAAAAAGTTAAGTAAAAAACACAGATGATTTCTATGTACGTAATGCATGATCATGTAAAGATGACATGACTTCATGAAGAAATTAATGTACGTAATGCATGATCATGTAAAGATGCCATGGCTTCATGAAGAAATTAATGTACGTAATGCATGATCATGTAAAGATGCCATGGCTTCATGAAGAAATTAATGTACGTAATGCATGATCATGTAAAGATGACATGACTTCATGAAGAAATTAATGTACGTAATGCATGATCATGTAAAGATGCCATGGCTTCATGAAGAAATTAATGTACGTAATGCATGATCATGTAAAGATGCCATGGCTTCATGAAGAAATTAATGTACGTAATGCATGATCATGTAAAGATGCCATGGCTTCATGAAGAAATTAATGTACGTAATGCATGATCATGTAAAGATGACATGACTTCATGAAGAAATTAATGTACGTAATGCATGATCATGTAAAGATGACATGACTTCATGAAGAAATTAATGTACGTAATGCATGATCATGTAAAGATGACATGACTTCATGAAGAAATTAATGTACGTAATGCATGATCATGTAAAGATGCCATGGCTTCATGAAGAAATTAATGTACGTAATGCATGATCATGTAAAGATGCCATGCTTCATGAAGAAATTAATGTACGTAATGCATGATCATGTAAAGATGACATGACTTCATGAAGAAATTAATGTACGTAATGCATGATCATGTAAAGATGACATGACTTCATGAAGAAATTAATGTACGTAATGCATGATCATGTAAAGATGCCATGGCTTCATGAAGAAATTAATGTACGTAATGCATGATCATGTAAAGATGACATGGCTTCATGAAGAAATTAATGTACGTAATGCATGATCATGTAAAGATGACATGACTTCATGAAGAAATTAATGTACGTAATGCATGATCATGTAAAGATGCCATGACTTCATGAAGAAATTAATGTACGTAATGCATGATCATGTAAAGATGACATGACTTCATGAAGAAATTAATGTACGTAATGCATGATCATGTAAAGATGCCATGGCTTCATGAAGAAATTAATGTACGTAATGCATGATCATGTAAAGATGACATGACTTCATGAAGAAATTAATGTACGTAATGCATGATCATGTAAAGATGACATGACTTCATGAAGAAATTAATGTACGTAATGCATGATCATGTAAAGATGACATGACTTCATGAAGAAATTAATGTACGTAATGCATGATCATGTAAAGATGCCATGACTTCATGAAGAAATTAATGTACGTAATGCATGATCATGTAAAGATGACATGGCTTCATGAAGAAATTAATGTACGTAATGCATGATCATGTAAAGATGACATGACTTCATGAAGAAATTAATGTACGTAATGCATGATCATGTAAAGATGCCATGACTTCATGAAGAAATTAATGTACGTAATGCATGATCATGTAAAGATGACATGACTTCATGAAGAAATTAATGTACGTAATGCATGATCATGTAAAGATGCCATGGCTTCATGAAGAAATTAATGTACGTAATGCATGATCATGTAAAGATGACATGACTTCATGAAGAAATTAATGTACGTAATGCATGATCATGTAAAGATGCCATGGCTTCATGAAGAAATTAATGTACGTAATGCATGATCATGTAAAGATGCCATGGCTTCATGAAGAAATTAATGTACGTAATGCATGATCATGTAAAGATGCCATGACTTCATGAAGAAATTAATGTACGTAATGCATGATCATGTAAAGATGCCATGACTTCATGAAGAAATTAATGTACGTAATGCATGATCATGTAAAGATGCCATGGCTTCATGAAGAAATTATTTAGACTTGTTTTGATTAGAAAAGTGATTAGCTAAAATGTTTGCTTATGTAAGTTTTGTTCTGCTCAAGTCAAACATAGTGTAGCTAAAAGTTCAAGATGAAATCGGGATGCGTTGAGAGCAATAAAATACTGTTTTGTTTTGGTGAATGTTTTTGTATGTTTTCCAAAAATCGAAAACAATTGAAATTCTTGAAAATGCGTCGAGTTAAGTTAAAGGAAGTAGTCTTTCGTCTTTTGTTCCGTAGGCAATTTCGTCTTTATGAAAATTGGACTTCATGTTTACATTCCAAAACGGTTGAAAATTTTCCGAAATGAATGCACTCTCATTTATTCCAATTCAATTATCAGTAACCTCATCAAACTTTTCTCACCAATCACAATCGTGCGCATGCACTTCGTAGCACAATCGCTAAAGGAGACCTGGGTCTGAGTTTCTTGTTGCTATGACAAATAATTAGTTTTAGCAAGAAAGCGCAGAAAACCTTTCGATTCATAGCGAAAAAATGCTACACTCGTATTACTCATAAGAAAGCTATTGACCCAAGAAAAAAAAACAAAACAAAACAAAAACACGAAAAAATGTTTTTATTTACTGTAAAGAAAAAACACACAATTAGCTATAACATAATTCATTACAAAGTAATATAATTGCGACAAAAACTTCAGAAAACTTTATAAAAATGTTTAACTTGTTGCGTTATAGCTACTCACCCAAAAGAGCATATTTAGCAATTAAACTTTACAAGATACTATAAAAATGATTGGTACTTACTTCGTCTGAATTTTTTTCAGAAAGATCAACTTTTGATGTCTTCTCCGCGATCGTGACGCTGAACATTTTGGATTCGGAGTTCGAGACGCAGTTTTTCTGCGTTCTCGTTTGCTTTTATCCTTTCCGAAGCAGCAAGAGAAACAGTTACCCATTTTCTCGTTGCTACTTAACTGCAATGAAAATATCTCTCTTTCGAAATTGCTTTGAAAATATGTAGAACCTTGCGATGCGAGCTATTGCTGCGAAATGAACAAATTAACATTGCGTGTTTATTCTGACGATAGTAATTGGCTCCGTGAGCATTGTTACGTCACTAATTGGTTCCGTGCGCTTTGTTACACCATTAATTCTAAAGAGCCCGGTGCATGCTGGTCGTGCCTTGGGAACTCTAGCACAACCTGTGACGTTAAATCATGGCAAACACACTGAAGTGGATCCTAGTGTTGTATAGCTGGCTGTTCTCTAGACAGTTATTGAGGTCGTATATGGCATTGTATTGAAATTAGGTATAGTAGTTCTCCTAATAATTAAACTTCAGCAGAACAAGCGAGTAAATTTGAAACACTGACTACGGAGCCTGTTCAAAAGAGGACGGAGGAGAATAAGATGAGAAAATGTATGTGTATGTGGGACGCTGAATTCTCCTCCCTCCCCGAATCAATTGCTTGTCTATGGAAAAAGTGTAAAGCAGAGGCATGTCTGCTATGTTATGCAGGCTGCGAACCGTGACTGAAAAAAGCCAAAAAAACTTAATTGATGTTAGGACAGTGAACACTTATTTTTTGCGTGAATTAAGTGTTTTTATTATGTTAGTATTGACTCAAAAAATTTCTTCGTAATATGATTGGCTGATGTCTCGTAAGGTTGCAGTATTTAACAAATGGAAACACAAAGGAAAATTCATCATTTATATTTTCAGTAAATCTGTGCTCTTCAATATGGCGAACCGCTGTGGCCAAATATTCATTCGAAATGTGTTATTTTTTTCATTATTTTGTCATAGTTTCTCAAGCATATACGGTTTGGAACTTGCAAGCTCGAATGGATATGTGAGAAGAGAACATTCACTTTCGAAACCATTTCAAGGTGCTGCATTTTAAAAACTATTTTTCTTCGGTC